TCTCTGTGAGTTCGAGACCAGCCTGGTCTACAGAGCTAGTTCCAGGACAGGCTCCAAAGCCACAGAGAAACCCTGTCTCGAAAAAAACCAAAAAAATAAAATAAATAAATAAAATAAATGGGCATTATAGGCAATGACAAATATAGAACTTAAAACTTAAACCAGCCTTGTTTCGTGACGGTACAGAAGGCTGTTTTCAGGAGGATTTTCAGGAGGGTGTTTCAACAGAGAAACTGTTGCACTCAAATCCTGTATAGTACACTTCACGAATGGATGGAATGTATTTTTAGAACCAAAGATGAGGGCCAGGGACACTCCAATAGACGGTCATATACACTGACCCTTGGTAGGCTGTAGCAGCTCAGGATGGGATCCCAACTGCCCATGTCATCTGTTGCAGAACCAGGAAGAGTTGGTGGGTATGGATCCTCTCAAGGTCTGGGAGACGCCCATTTTGTAGTTTTCAGTGTGTAAAATGTATATTCCATGTGATCCCATTGTGTATGCTTACCTGTTGAGCAGAGAAAGGAGGCACTCGCCTCCAAGTGAGTACTTTGAGGAAGTGAGCCTGACCTCTTGTGTACGGGATGGGCAGCAAACCCAGAGACTCTTCCCTGGAATGACAGAGGTGTTTCTGTGGGATGGTGGTGGGGATCAGAGAGAGAGGGTCTCTGGTAGGTGAAGTCCTTAACTATTGCCTACCTCTTTAAAGACAGTAAATCAATTTAAACTCTCAAACGAAACTACTTCCCGAGCCTGTAAGCTTCCAAGAGTACAAAATGCTGCTGTCTTTTTTAGTGTTTCGGGAATACTTTTCTAGGATTTAGTATATTGAGATTCTTGACAATGTTTTGAATGCTGCTAAAAATTTGAGAAATGATAATGTATTATCTAATTCTCCAAATATATAAGAAACACCTCAAACCCCGCCAGCAAAACTGTCAAACTAGCACTGCACCGTGGCTGTGCACTGCCTCGGCCTGAATCAGGTGTGAACACCTTGACACATCTCTAACCACCAACCTCAGTTACCTTTCCTGTGGTTTGCTCTAGTCAGAATCAAGGAGGACAGAGCACACCAGCCGTACCTTGTGACTGAAAGGCTTTCTACTTGAAAACTTCCACATGCTTCAAACTTGAGTATACACAGCTCTGTGCTCAACTTCTTCTGACTTAAAACGCACACAGCTTTGCTGGTTTGCAGCTTACTTGTAAATATTATTACTCTTCAATAAAAATACTGTTTATTGTGCTTTTGCTTCAGTATTTTGGAGTAAGATTTGGGGGTTGGGGAAATAGCTCATTCCATAAAGAATTTGTTGTGTAAGCATGAGGACCCCAATGTGATCCATAGAATCCATTTAGAACTATGTCCTGTTGACAAAGTCAAAGAAACAGGGCACACTCCGGGGGCCGACTTCTGGCCTCCACACACCTAAAAATGACTTGCTGGTACTATACAAGAAATCACTTTCAAGAGACCTGTTGAGGATTCAAACATACCTTTGTTTAAAAAAATAACTGAGAGTTGGGCCTGACCTTTAATCTCAGCCGTCAGGATGCAGACAGTGAGAGAGGCAGAGCTGAGTTCAGGACCAGCCTCATCTACAGTGAGTTCCAAGACAGCCAGAGTTCATAGTTACCCTGTCTCAAAATAAATAAATAAACCACAGAAATGAATAGAAATAACTCACCACAGAGTTCATTTTAATCAGAGTTTTACCAACTCTCAACCACTGAAAAGGTGTTTTCTCTATAAACTGACCCAGTTGTACTCCTAATCCTCAGCCTTTTCCTTCTTCACTGCGACCATCTCATTGCTCACTAAACCACCGTCTCCTCACTGCCTGCAAACTGGTCAGATGTAGTGAAAACCCATTAAATGCTTCTTTCATTTCAAAAAGTGTTTGGTGCTGGCTGGGGGTATGTAGATCACTGGTAGAGTGTTTGCCTAGCATTCCAAACCCAGCACTCAGTGCCACCAACAGAACAAAACCTTACTACACAAAACCCTCCTAAGGGTGAAACGCTCATTTCAATGACGGCCGAAGAGTTGAAGAGCTCGCCACACCAGACTTTCTGTGCCAACAGACACAATGGAGCGATCCACGCACAGCACCGGCCTGCACGAGCCTGGCGGGCTAGGGGGCGGTGGCGCGTCAGCCCTTCAGACGATGGGGACCAGCAGTCACAGGGCCCTGAAACACCGCTCTTATACAGCACGACAGGGAACTTAGGAATTTTGAAATTTTTTATTTTTGTGAGGCGGCAACACGTTACCCAATCACAGGAAGCCCTGGAGCCTGTGAGGCTCAGTTGTACGTCATGTAGCGGGGGGTGGCACTGAACTTGGCATAGGACTTGATGACCTTGTTCACAGCTTCCAGGAAGTCCTTCTCGGTAGCAATCTTCCGCCGTGCTCGGATGGCAAACATACCAGCTTCTGTACACACGCTCCTAATCTCTGCTCCAGTGCTGTTCGGACACAGTCGGGCTAGCAGCTCAAACCTAATGTCTCGTTCAACACTCATGGAGCGGGCGTGAATCTTAAAGATGTGAGTCCGACCCTAAAAATGAAGGAATTCACATATATTAAAGTGAAAATAAGTATCAGAAAGACAAATTTTCAAGAATAATTTTTCTAAAATGATTTTTTTTTTTTTACCTCTAAATCAGGTAAGCTAAACTCAATTTTTCTGTCCAATCTCCCCGGCCTCATCAGCGCTGGATCCAAAGTGTCAGGCCGGTTGGTAGCCATCAGGACTTTGATGTTGCCTCGAGGATCAAAACCATCCAGCTGGTTGATCAGCTCCAACATTGTTCTCTGCACCTCATTGTCTCCCCCAGCGCCATCATCAAACCGAGCCCCTGGGAAGACAGCAGAGACTCATCTCATGCCCAGGCAGAGCAGCTACGCTGACTGAGCCCCTGGGAAGACAGCAGAGACTCATCTCATGCCCAGGTAGAGCAGCTACGCTGACCAAACCCCTGGGAAGACAGCAGAGACTCATCTCAAGCCCAGGTAGAGCAGCTACGCTGACCAAACCCCTGGGAAGACAGCAGAGACTCATCTCATGCCCAGGTAGAGCAGCTACGCTGACCAAACCCCTGGGAAGACAGCAGAGACTCATCTCAAGCCCAGGTAGAGCAGCTCCACGCAGGACTGAAGACACAGGCCTTGTCGCACAGCCTCCCCACAGCTAATGCACACCTACTCTCAAGTCAAAACTAAAGAGCAAAATATAACAAAACAACACAAAATGAAACAAAAACCACACAAAAAACTCCGAGTCGGTTTTGTGCTGGCCAACTAACTACTCAAGGCTGGGCCTGCCCTGCGGTGTGGTCGGTAGATTCAGACATAATCCACTGGAGAATACTGATCTTTCCTTCCCAGCAGACAGCTGCAAACAGCTTCTTGGTTAGGGTGAGATCTTGCACCCATTTCCCCTTCTCAGTGCTGGATTTTGCCTGGACTGAACCTAGGCAAATCTCTGCTTTAGAAAGAATTTACCACAGCTTTACTTAACAGCTTTCTTGAGAGATCTTTAAAGTTACTCCTTAAGGACATTTTGTTTTCAAATTAATCAAGGACTCTTGCGTAGGGAGCGAAGAGACTACCCTGGCAGGCCTGGCCCTTCCATCCCTTCCCTTGCTAAGAACCCCTAGATTACATCCCTAGAGTTAGCCATCAAGGTCTACTGCCCCATTTGACCACCTCCTTCTCCCAAGGCTGACCACCAAGTTTCCAGCCCCGCACACCTCATCCTAACGCAGGGTTTTCTCTGTTACCCTGATAAACCGCCATTTGCCTATGGGCCTCATTCTTCTCCTCTATCCAGAGGTGGTCCTTTGTCGCTGCTTTCCCTGTCCCCTTCTCGATCTCCTCCACCACCGCATCCCAGTCCATGCTAACACAGACCTCCCCTTCTGCTCTCAAAATTGCACCTGCAAGGTCATTTGCTGCCGCTTTTCTGTGTGAGTCAGAAAGCAGCCACTTTAGTTTTCCCTGCTGTGAAAAAAGGTGCTTGGGTGTGGTTTATGCCTAATCCAGGGTCCAGAAAGATGCTCCCACGGGGGGGGGGGGGGCCCCTTCAGGAAGACTTTCAAGATGTCAGCTGTTATTACCTCGGCTGGACTCTCCAGGTAATAATAATTTGGGGACGGTTGGAGATCAGTTATTCAAAGAGTACTAGGAGAATGTAGAGATGGCTCAGCAGTTAAGAAAGAACACTTGCTGTTCTTACAGAGGACCCCAGATCCAGTCCCCAAATCTTACAGACTGCTCACAACTGCCTCGACTCTAGCTCCAAAGCATGTGACAATTTTTTTTGACCTCTGCGGGCATTCTCTCTCTCTCTCTCTCTCTCTCTCTCTCTCTCTCTCACGCACACACATACACAACACGCATGGCACACATTTTCTGAATAAATGAAAGTGGCTGGAAAGACGACTCGGAGTTAGGAGCACACACAGCTCTTGCAGAAGACCCTGAGTCAGCTTCCTGGCACCCTCGTCTCAGTCACGACGGCCTGGAACCTGCTCCCAGGCAGTGTGATGCCCTCCTCTGATACTGTATTCATGCACACACCCACACACTGTCAGACATTCTAACTGAGCAGAAAAGGCCAAACCCAGGGCAGCTTCCTCTGCACTGGGTGTTCGGCACAGACAACTGACAAAACAAGGCACCATGTGGAAAAGACTCCTGCTATGCTGGTGGCTTGGCAGCTCAGGAACCCTAGGAGTTTCCCTTGTGAGAAACTCAGCAAGTGTTGACCATATGCTGGAATCTGACCTAAAGAATACTGCTAGCCTGTCGACATTAACCTTTGAATCAGATCTGTGTCTGAACACCTACATACGGGGGAATGTACACAGTCTAGGCAGTGCCTGGAGCACTGGGGATGGCATAGGATGGCGCTGGCATTCGTACTGAGGATCCCTGAAGGAATGATGTTCTGGGCATGTGAGGCTCCATCTGCTGAAGCACTACCTAAAGACTGGAACAGCACCTGTAACCTAGTATCTAAAAAGCGAAGCCTAGAACGGCCATCACAGAGGAGCTCCCACGGTTACGGCAGGCGCGGAGACACAGACCTGAATGGTGAGCACGACCGTGTCCTCTCCATGCGTTCCTCCCTAGTCGGTCCCCGATGTCAGCTACGTCGGCTTGACTCTTTCTCACCTATATTTCTTACCCAGTCACTCTCTTCTTTTGCATTTTTTCATCTTCTATCTCCAATACATAGCTTGCCCTGGTCTGAAGAGTCTCTGGGGCAGAGAGGGGCCATTTCTGCTTATCTATTAAAACAGCTTGACCTCAATAACAACTGAAAGGCACTCCTGATGATCAGGAACTACAAGGGAATCTTTCCATGACGAAAGCAGTCTTTTTTTTTTTTTTTGATTTTTCAAGACAGGGTTTCTCTGTAGCTTTTTTGGTTCCTGTCCTGGAACTAGGTCTTGTAGACCAGGCTGGCCTCAAACTTCCAGAAATCTGCCTGCCTCTGCCTCCCGAGTGCGGGGATTAAAGGCGTGCGCACCATCGCCCGGCAATGAAAGCAGTCTTAAAGACTATGACCACTAAGTTAGTTCCAGGGAAGATACTGAAAGCTTTTGAACTAAAAAGAACAAGTACATCTAAGAAGCTACAGGAAAAACCCCTACACTGAGTGAGATCTACCTTATCCCAGGCACAATGCATTCATTAGGAAAACAAACAATGGGCCAGCAAGAGGCTCAGTGGGTAAAGGTGACCTGTGTGATACCCAGAACCCAAACAGAAAAAGAGCAAACAGATCCTGGAGAGCTGCACTCCGACCTCCACGTGTGCTATGGCATACACGGTCACAGACACACACTCCTGGGTATGGCATACACAGTCACAGACACACACTCCTGGGTATGGCATACACGGTCACAGACACACACTCCTGGGTATGGCATACACGGTCACAGACACACACGCCTGGGTATGGCATACACGGTCACAGACACACACTCCTGGGTATGGCATACACGGTCACAGACACACACGCCTGGGTATGGCATACACGGTCACAGACACACACGCCTGGGTATGGCATACACGGTCACAGACACACACGCCTGGGTATGGCATACACAGTCACAGACACACACTCCTGGGTATTTACGCAGAGGACGGCAGACATCACAGAAACAGCTGCACATCAATGCTCATTGCAGCATTAGTAACAACGGCTACACTGAGGGCCCAACTTAGCTATCCAACAACAGAGACGTTACTGCGGACAGTGACAGACGAACCTGCGGCTACTAAGGGTTTTTAGTATTCTGTCACAGCCAACACCTCAGGACAGCTCACGGTTTTCAGTCATTCTGTTGCTTAAACCTGTGACCTGGAGTTAAAGTCTTGTAGACTAACATCAGAACTCTACCACGTATCACTTTAAGCTTTTACGGAACTCAATCCTATACCAATTCTTTAAAATATCATCCAGGGATGATCAACGGCTGGGGGGAGGGAGAGCTGGGACCCACACCGTAGGAAGGAACCGGCCCCCACAGGACGTCCTTTAACCACACGCGTACTGTATGTGGTGGCTGAAAGAGAATGACCACACAGGCTCATAGGAATGCCACTATGGGGAATTACGGCCCTGCGGGAGCGAGTGTGGCGTTGTTGGAGGAAGCATGCCACGAGGAGCAGGCTTTGAGGTCTTGGATGCTCAAGCCTGGCCAGTGTCTCTCTTCCTGCTGCCTGCCAATCCAGATGTAGAACTCTCAGCACCTCCTCCAGCACCGTGTGTGCATGTGTGACGTCATACTTCCCGCCATGACAATAATGGATGAAACCTCTGAACTGTAAGCCAGCCCAATGAAGAGTTCTCTTTATAAGACTTGCTGTGGTCATGGAGTCTGCACAGCAACAGAAACCGACTAAGACACGACAGCACTGCACAGGTGCGTGCCCGCACGCGCGCGCACACACACACACGCACGCGCGCGCGCGCGCACACACACACACACACGCACGCACGCGCACACACACACACGCACGCGCACACACACACGCACGCGCACACACGCGCACTAAAGACAACTAAATCTATAAAAGTCATCCATACCTCCAATGGCATCAATTTCATCAAAGAAAATAAGGCAGGCTTTTTTCGTTCTGGCCATTTCAAAAAGCTCACGAACCATCCGGGCCCCCTAGTGAGAAAATTTGATTCATTACTACAGAGTTGACTTTAAAATCTTTTCAAGTACAATAAATAAACTATACTGCATGGCTTTAAACACTTTTTCTAACAGCATTCTCAACCATTATCACCTAAGCTTTTTTTTTTTTTTTGAAAGATTGATGCTTGAGCCAGGCGGTGGTGGCGCACGCCGTTAATCCCAGTACCTGGGAGTCAGAGGCAGGCAGATTTCTGAGTTTGAGGTCAGCCTGGTCTACAGAATTCCAGGATGCCAGAGATACACAAAGAAACCCTATCTCATAAATAAATAAATAAATAAATAAATAAATAAAAAAAATAAAACAAGAAGACTAAAGCCTGCTAGCTACACTACCAAACGGACCTTGCTGGCCTCCACACAGTGTTTCAGTCTTCCTGACTCTCCAGCTATCCAACAGCACTAAGGTTACGATGAGACGTGATCACATCTCATCATTAATGCTTTTTTTTTATTTTGCATGTTAGCGTTCTTAAGTGAAGTACGATAAGCAAAATTTGAGGACATCAAAGTACTTCATCTGTCACCTGGTATTACTGATCACTGAATCTGATTAAGCTTTGATCTAAACATTAAAATTAAAATACTAAGTCATGTAGCCCTTTTGGCAATCCTTAAGTATACTAAACAGAATGTTTTAGATATCATATATGCAACCCTAGCCTTTAACCTAAATGTACATTCTTAGCTAACACTTTTGTGCTTGTGTGTGTGTAGACACCCATGTCCCCACAGACAATCCATGTTCTCTATTGTGTGTAGACACCCATGCCCACACACACAGACAATCCATGTTTTCTATTGTGTGTGTAGACACCCATGTCCCCACACACAGACAATCCATGTTCTCTATTGTGTGTATAGACACCCATGCCCCCACACACAGACAATCCATGTTCTCTATTGTGTGTGTGCAGACACCCATGTCCCCCACACACAGACAATCCATGTTCTCTATTGTGTGTGTGCAGACACCCATGTCCCCCACACACAGACAATCCATGTTCTCTATT